GCTTAGGACCAGATAGTAGGGCTGTGTCACATCACATCATGGCTTGGAAGAGTATAAATAATTAGCCCCCAACTTAAGGAAATTTATGGCATCCCACCTCCATAAAATTAAGTGATGCACACATTCGTTGTATATCAACTATTTTGATGTATTTTTTGTAAATAAATCAAAATTATTTATCATCCTTTTAATTGTCTATTACATAACTTTATCCCTATTATTTCACAGTGTGAGACTTATTATTATTACAGTTTCGTGTAAATAATTTTCTCCATCAGACCGTCATTGAAATCTTCTTACAGTTAATTATTTCACAATTGTCGATCAAGAAGATTTTGAGCTTAATGAGCTAGGATCCAAAGGGAGTCCAATAAAAAATCTTTGAATCGAAATGAGATGAGAATATCTACGTATTTAATTAATCAATTAATTTATGTTTATTTTCAATATCTACCATAGAACCAACAAATTGGCTCCATTTTTTTATTATTCAAGTTGTATTTGTCAATGAGTACGTAACAAATAATTTTATTAAAGGATTCAACTATAATACTTATAAAGGAGTTTTAGCTAGAATGGTTCATTATCATTGACATTGCAATAAAAAAAAAAAGTCTTTAAAGGCATTTGACTTTGACGTTGGGACAAGTGCCGGACATTTTAGGTGTTTTATTGAAATATTGAAAACATCTAGACCCATCCTTTTCTATCTAGCATTTATTAACTTTCAAAGTCATTCCAAAAATTCTTTTATTGTAATGTGATTTCCATTTTTCATCAACATGAACATACATAATTATAATCAAAACTATATGAATAATTGATTATTCTTAGAAAAATTTCAGAAAAGTTATATCCATTAATAATGGCCAACGCATGTCAACGCAGTGAGTGATTCAACCATAAAATTGCCTCAAACACTAAAATCGACTATTATGCTACCAAACAATTTTATCCCTTGAGAGAGAGATACAATTGATAGGTTGCCCTTAGTTATCAAATATTTTTCCTAATAAAAGCTATAAAATAATTAGGAGAAAGTGTTTGAAAAAGCAAAGAACCCTCAATAAGCAACCTCTTTAAAAGCTATCTCAAATTAAGTACAACACCCAACGGGAGGAGGGGTGCAATTTTTTGCTATTGCAAGACTACATAGATGTTCAATGTTCGAAGAGATTCATCAATACTACAGTAATCTTACTTTCACTTAATATATGCATCAACAAAATATGTGTGTGTGTGGTGATAGAGAGACCGAAAAAAGAGAGAGCGAGCGAGATTAGAGAGGGAGAGCTGAACTGGCTTAGCGTTGTAAGATATGCAGTCCAAAACTTGTAATAACCAGTCATACCTTGAAGTATTCTTACTAAACTTTTAATGATAAAGACTTTTATTTTTTACAATAGATGAATACCAATCCAAATGTAATATAAACATTTGGCCAGGGCCCCATCCAAATCGTAAGTCTGAAGGGTCTCAAGAGTGAGAATATTTGGACATTTTATAGGACCCAAAAACTTGGCCGTCTAACTTCTCCCATGTTTTATTATGAATTAGAGTTATGAAACTCCAAAAATTGTACAACAGCCATGCTTCCTCAGTTGGTAGTAACTCCCAATAATTACCATTATATTTTGGAATGAAATATTCAATGTAAACGTAACTGTTCAATAAAACAATTAAAAAATAGATAAATTAGATGGTTATATATTATATGATAAGTATTGCATTTTATGAGATTCACTTGTTCACTTATTTCCTTGGTAGTGGCCAGTTACACAAAGTGACATTGCAGATGTGGGGTAACTGTTACGCTAAATTTTTTTTTTTGTATTTTGGATTGTATGAACTGAATTACATTGCATTTAAAAATTATAATGTTTAATTTTAGTAAGTGATTAATAGATGGATGACTATTGATTTCTTGGAATAATAAGAAGTTATTAAAATAGGTTATTATTGTTTTTTTATCCTTTTAAGGATAGTATTATCAATTATGTTTTTTTGGACAAGTATTGACATTCGAAAGTAGTATATATATTATTAGATTTATTCAAATATTTGGTTTTTAGAGAATTTGGATGTGCTCTATGTACCTACAAACATATGATGTAATTTGTTAATTATTTAATAAAATTGAGTAGAAATCTATGTGTTAAATGTTAAAATTGTCTCTAATCAACTTATTCGGATCAGAATAGATATCTATTTTAACGAATTCATATATGTACTGTAAAAAATAAAATTCGTTAGACAATTGAATCAGATTCGAATCACATTATTTAAATCGAATTTATATTGTTTGAAAAGAATATNTACTGTAAAAAATAAAATTCGTTAGACAATTGAATCAGATTCGAATCACATTATTTAAATCGAATTTATATTGTTTGAAAAGAATATAATCAAAAGTCAAACAACAAATTTATTAGTTGAATTAATGCAACTAAAAAAAATAAAAAAATTCCTCAAAAAAAGATAAAGTAGGTATTATAGAATTTTTGAAGGATAAATAACAAAATTAAAAATTTCTCTTAAGTCACTTTTATTAGTAGTATAGATATAAATTAATAATATAAAAAAAAGTTTATATTTGATCTGAAATTATTTAAGAATAGGTTTGACCATGAAAGGAGTAATGAGTGCGATCAGAAGTCTTATAATCCCAACAGTGAAAGTCTATTATGATAATATTTGGACGCTCTCCTTTACTCTCACCCCTTTTTTCTCTAGNGTCTTATAATCCCAACAGTGAAAGTCTATTATGATAATATTTGGACGCTCTCCTTTACTCTCACCCCTTTTTTCTCTAGCGAAAAAAAGAACCAAACCCGGTTCGAACCAATGTAAATTGGATTTGATTTTTCAAAACGAAAATAGAAGTTTAATCAAATCAAATTTGATTCATTAACGTTTTGATTAAACTAGAATGAGTCAACCAAATCGAATTGATGGTTTAGCAACACTACCACACACTAGTTCCAAATGCCATTGTTAGTAAAGCTCAATACACAAACTACAACATTTTCAGAAACAATTGGCTCTGAACCTGCACCTGGGCCACTGAAGAGTAGAATTTATTGAAAAGTTTGTTCCACCCTATACTATGTACATCTAATGCGCTCAAATACTGCAGTGATGGGAGCGGCCCTTGTAGAATATTGCAAGTGACTTTTCGTTTAGAACCACAATGAAAACAGGACAAAAACGCATACACAAGATACAAATGCAACACATACAACCTAATANATATGGAATTAGAAAATGACAGGTGCATGATGCTACCTTGTATGGGTAGGTAGGCCCTACCTAATGTCTTTGTTGCTAAGAATTAAAAGGGTGTTGGTGACCACTAGGGTCTTAACCCAACCAGCGACCCGGCCCAAAATCAATACAAAATTAACCAGTATGGAGTTAGTTTTAACGAGTTCAAATCATAAAAAGCCTGATCCGTCAAACCCTTTTGACAAGTAAGTTAACACAAACCCGGCAAAACATAAATTGTGCAAGACAAATTGCTTTGAAGTGGTTGGTTCTCAAGGACGACTCACTCTAAAACCAGTATAAATGCTAAAAATGACCAAGTAATAACCAGCATAGCATCAATGCTAAAAATGACAACCTTCAGTCAGCCAGACCATGGCATAAAAGAGAAAATTCCATTTACAATAGTCTGAATTATGAGTCAGAAATATGTAACAGGTCACTTATCATCGAACACCATTAATATTGAAATATGTCACCTTTGATCAATATGCTTAAGCGGCATTTACTTTTGGTTTCAGATGCTGCCCTCAACAAAATGGTGCACTCTGCATAATGTTCCTTACAAATACAACAATACTATGTCGACAATACACAGTCTCCTCAAACATCATGAATCCTTCCGGATTGATAGTAAATTAAGACTAGACATGCAATAATCAACATGGCCTTGAACTGGTGGGATTATTTATGTTTAGTTTTGCACGGTTCTTTAACAAAGACAANATGCAATAATCAACATGGCCTTGAACTGGTGGGATTATTTATGTTTAGTTTTGCACGGTTCTTTAACAAAGACAACTGCATAATGTATATCTACCTCAAACTTTAAGCGGCGATGTCTTGCATAGCAAGTTTACGAGATAGAACCAACTCACGAGGGGAGACTGAACTTGCTTATTCATGGAAGGGATTCAATACATCAAGATACTCCCATTGCAGTCAAAAGTTTAGGACATAAAATCAACAATGCAGTATCATATGACGTAACATGTATAAGATGAACACTGATAAACATATAAGTTAATTCGTGTCCATGTACATATAAGCCATCTTTAATTAAAGGTGGCTACCAAAGGCACACAGTTCAAAGACGTTGACCATAATATGTTGATGGTAGAGGGGCAAAAAAGATGCCAAGTAGAGTGTTTTTGCAACAAAAACCTACAAACTAGCTAGAGTGAAAATTTGCAAAGTTACCACAGCCCAAAAAGAGTAAAGAACAATACGACGTAGATTGTTTTGTGGTTTAGATATCAGCAAATTGGTAGTGAAGCACAGATGATTTGAGAATTGTTACACGCTAAAACCAGGGTAGGAATCATCTGTAACCTGATTACACAGAAACTGAGGAATTTTATAGTTATACTATTCTGAAGAACACTGCGCTTAATGCATAGCAGATCAGCACATCAGCAGACCAACCAAACTACCGACTCGGAACAACCTTTACCGACACAATACTTACTTTCACAAGATAACATCTGACCAGAACAGTGGTTGTGANAACACTGCGCTTAATGCATAGCAGATCAGCACATCAGCAGACCAACCAAACTACCGACTCGGAACAACCTTTACCGACACAATACTTACTTTCACAAGATAACATCTGACCAGAACAGTGGTTGTGAAAAACGGATAGTTCTTACATTTCCAAATTACAAACTTTTCAGGTATCAAAAGAGTGTTCTGCAGCTCCGCTAACGAAATTAATAGAACTAAAAATGGGGAGCTCACATTGACATTAGCTTTGGGCCGTTATCTGGCATACCCATTCCAGCAGCTAGGTCAGCATCAAGTTGGGTATGTGGTGCAGGCCCCATCATTTGCTTCACACTGCAATCAACAATATTATTTTTCAAGTGAATACCAACTGAATTTATTCATAAAGAACAGTAGGTAAATAGGTATCCATCTACAGTTGTTCAAATAAGAAGGTGAAGATAATATATTGCCCACATGGAGCCTTGGACGCAGTGAACCAAATATGCACAAATCCAGCTCTTACTTAACAAGCTGAACAGTGAACAAAATTTTGCTGATAAAAAACCATGAACAACATTTAAAGAATAAAACATTGAATATGAAACGGATTAACATATAAAATCACAACCTTTTACATGGAAAAATCTAGGCCATGCCACATATAAAATTATCACCGTAGAAAGACCAAGTTTGCACAACAGTGCAAGAGCTTTTTGGCACAATTAGCCAAGGAGATTACCAAAATCCATTAATAATTAGTATTCATCCCATCTGAACTACAATGGAGAACGAGTATTTGCCAAGTGCCTGACCCTTTAACCATCAGAGCTTCTGCAAAAGATCTTTTCATTACCTCTACCATTACCACCACATTCAATGTTACTAGTATTACTGACCCCATAAGTAGTCATCGAAGAAGCAAGAGCAGCTTATTTGGGTAATAATGACTCAAATGGCCAATGAGATTAATGAGAGCAATTGCACAACACCTATTCCTCCGCCCATTCTGCAACTATTACTACAATTACATCTTATAAAACCTTCCTCAAAGCACTCATCAGCAATTCTAATTTTGTTCTTTAAAAGGAACGAAAGAAATGGCTATATATCCATGAAGAGCTGACATAAAACACAGAAGTCACTCCTATACCTCACCCAATTAATCATGAAGTTGCATTCTAAATCTGATATATGTCATTTTCTATTGGGATTGCTAATTTGACACAATTGAAGCTAGAAAAATCACACCCTTCCAATCACATTTTTTAGAGTTTGACATTAAACATTTACAAACCAGACAGAAGAGACCCTCATATAATACATCAGTGCAAGGCCAGAAGTACATGCTTCACCCAATTTCCAAATTTAAATACAGAGTAAAATAAATATATACCGCTTCTTGTGCCTTTTCGACTTGAAATGTTCATCCCTCACCGCCACATTTGCAAAGTACCGACTGTACCAATCAAAGCAAATTAGAAGATTCAAACAAAACCCAAATCATAAAAAAAAAAGTAAATTAAATTCATCAATTGAAAATCAAAGAATTACTCGCAGTGTACGCAATAATATTGTCCCATCCCAGGAAGATCTTCATCTACGGGCAAGAGCTTCTTATCACACTCCGGCTTCTGAAGCTCTTCATATACAGCGTCATCCCGTGACCAACAGTCAAGAAAATACAANTACGCAATAATATTGTCCCATCCCAGGAAGATCTTCATCTACGGGCAAGAGCTTCTTATCACACTCCGGCTTCTGAAGCTCTTCATATACAGCGTCATCCCGTGACCAACAGTCAAGAAAATACAATCACAACAGAAAATTGAACAGAAAACAAAGAAGCCCACTCTAATTAATGGAAAAAGGAGACAAAATTCAAGAGAAAGCAAGAGAAAATACAAAGAAAGAAAAAAAAAAGGATATCTTTGAGGAGGAATTTGGTGCGGCGAGAAGTCTTGTGAGAGTATCTTCTCTTCTTTACGCTTCTATGAGGGCACTTTCCTCCCATTGTTTGATCTCTGCAAAAGCGAAATCTAGGGTTTTTTCGTCTGATCCAAAACCCTAGACCAAAAGATCGAGGCGGAGGCGAGAAGAGAAAGAGAGCTAGCTGGCTCTTCGCAGGTAAAAATAATAGTGCCAATCTTTGTATCCTAAAAATACTTTTGATTTTTAATTTGTACCATCAAATACTAAATATTTTAATTTATATCTTTAATGTTATGAATTGATAATAATTTATACCTCACTCAGACTCCCGTTCAATTTTTTGTCATAAATTGAAACACAAGAGTTGTAAGTGCTTCAGACATGAGAATTAAGTATGTCCATCACTATAGATTGTTGTTTGCGATAAATTTGATATCGTTTTATGTTGTATGTATGAAAAATAAGATTTTGTTAATTAAATAGTGACTCAATCTATTATGTACAAGCGCAACCCATATAGGGCGTCACTGTTTGTGAATTTATACATAAGTTCTTATGAGTTCAAAAGTAATTGAGTCAAGTCCAATAAAAATAAATTAAAAAAGGCCCAAATAATCAATATCTAAAAAGGAGCCCAAACTTACCAAGCCCAAAAGGAGATCAAAAAGTCAACGCCTAAGAGGGAACAAGGGGGCGCCACCCAAGGGTTGGCCTCCTGTTCCTCCTTCGTCCTTTTAACTTTGTCACTTCAACTCAAATCTAACCTACTCCAACTCAAGTTTAATCCAATTCAGGATCTTCCTCCCAATTGAATAAGAGCATAAGAAGAAAATATCAGGATACGCACGGAAACCTAATCCTAATATAATTGTACTTACCAAAATAGTGGAAGCACTCTCCCTCATGTCACCGCATCACCATCTTACTAAACCTATATAATGAAAGCCCACTTTGCATAAAAGAGAAGACATTCAGACTTCACACATATCTCTCTTTATACATTGTCTCTCTCTCTCTCCCAAGCATTGTAGTACACCCGAAGTTACTCTGCCGATTATATTATTCATCAATAAAACACCTCATGTCATCACTGTCGTTTCTCAGAGTGGAATAGGTCACCTAAACTGAACTACTATAAATCTGAGTGTTTGCTCTAATTAACTGCTTTTGTCATTAATTGCATGTGTTACTGCCTATTAATTGCACTCAAACACATTTTTAACTGTTAATTTTATGCAATACCGATTTATGCATCATCAAATTCATGGCCAAAACATTTATAATTCACGTATTTTAATTTATGATGAAAAATTGAACGATAACATGAGAAAAGGTTCATATTGCAACCAATTTATAACATTAAAGGTAAAATGAGATGCCTACTTTCTCTCTCGCTACTCGTTAGGCCTTAGACAGGTAATGCCTCTCTCTCTTCTCCTACCTTATTTCTCTCTCTCTCTCTCTCTCGTAGATTGCCATCCAACCCTTCCCACAAATCAATTCAAAACACAAAATCCTAATCCCTTTCAATTTGATTTTTGTATGTAAATTCCTAACCTCTAGAATATATTTACTTTGAATGACACATACACATTAAGAAGGTTGTCACTCCTCAATTCAATTCATTTATCTTAAGTTACTTTTATAAATAGTATAGACATAGATTAGTAAGATAAAAAAAAATTTATATGCGGTCTGAAATTATTTAAGAATAGATCTGTTCTCCAAAAAAGTAATGAATGCAGTCAGAGATAGAGGTGTCTATGAGTGGGGTTACCCATGGGTCCCGTTACCTGGCAAAAAAAAAATGGGCACGAAATTCAATAGACCCGATAGTTAGCCCGCTTGAACCCAATATCCTTAAAAAGAGGATTTAAGTTTGCTCCTAAATCCATTACTTGACCCAAAGCCCAACCCAAGAACCCGCCCACCTTTCATTTGAAAAAAAATTATATTTTTAGACCATTAAATTTGAAACTTTGAAAGAAGTCTCCTAATATCAGAATTTGAAATTTTAAAAATTTAGATATTATAAATAATGTATTATTTTCTTTTTTCAGGTATTAAACATACAAGTTTTAAATGGTGGAGTAATGTAAATGATAGATAAGTTAGTAGATGTCAACTTAGTTGAAATTTATTCATTCTATTGAATATAATTCATCTTCTAATCAAAAATAAAATTATTCATTATTTATTTTTATCCATTTTGACTTTATTTTTGATTCAAACATATAATTTATAAAAAATATTAAGTTACAAAAATATTCATTATTTTTAAATAAATATGTATATAAAAAAGGTCCACGCGCAAGCCCACCCCAACAAGTCTGCTTACATGTCCGCCCAATAAGCTTATGAGTTGGGTTGCAGATAACCCATTCCTACTCGAAGCTCAGCCCAGTCTGCCCGATAATCCACTTGGATAAGGATTTAAGCATACACTATCCAGGCCCCGTCCAAAAAAAATTTTGCGGTCCTAACCCAGCCCGGCCAAACCAATGAATACCTCTAGTCAGAGACCTCATGATTCCATCAGTGGGTCTATCGAAATGATTTTTGAACACTTTCCTTTGCTTCCACACCTTTTTTCACTAGCAAAATAAAAAACCAAAAACAGTTCGAACCAATGTTAATTGGATTTGATTTTTCAAAACGAAATTAGAAGTCTAAGTCAAATCAAATTTGATTAATTAACGTTCTGATTAAACTACAATGAGTCGATCAAATCGAATTGATAGTTTAGCAACTCTACCACACTAGATCCAAATACCATTGTGAGTAAAGCCCAATACACAAACTACGACATTTTCAGAAACAATTGGCCCTGAACCTGCACCTGGGTCACTGAAGAGTAGAATTTATTCGAAAGTTTGTACCACCCTAGACTATGTACATCTAATACTCTCAAATCCCGCAGTGATGGGAGCGGCCCTTGAAGAAGAGTGCAAGTGACTTTTCGTTTGGACCCAGAAGGAAAACAGGACAAAAACGCATACACAAGATACAAATGCAACACATACAACCTAATATTTAAATAAATATCATACTTCTGTATGTAGCTAGACAATCTTCTATAATTCATTACAAATGAACTTCATTCAACTACATCATGGGACAAAGAAGGGGAAAAATCATGATAGAACAAGTAGAATAGCCTATCAGGAATATGTGAAACAGAGAACTTGTTGGAAGCAGAACCCCTTAAACGTTTTGAAGGAAAAAAGAAAGGTCTACTCGTTAAACCAAGCCATATAACTGGGCACGCAACTGAGGCGTTCAAAAACAGGAGCCCACCCAATTCCGGCAAAATATTTTACACAATATACATCGACATTCGACAATATATTCCCAATGCTAAGATGATAAGAATTTGACTATATTGTAGACTAATGCTCGTGCTTAACACGTGCCTTAATGATTCCAGGAAGGGGAGGCGAGGTGGGAGTACTAACTGGTATGCTAGATATCGAAGGAATAGGAATTTCAGGATGAAAAATGTCAGGCATGCTGGAGCCTTCCCCCCCGTCTGCTGAGAAATTGTGTGCCATATCATCACCCTGTGGTCTTTCACAAAATTTCATTGCCTTGAGCACATAATTGTCATCATGTAGCTCAAATGGAGTGCTGCATTAAATTACAATATAAATGAACTGAGAAAGAGAAGGTTAAAAAAAATATCACTTCAGAAATATTTTAACATGCTTGGCGAATTGTCAGCTAAGGGGAATCACTCAAATCTTACAAGGTAAATGACTCAAGATTGCTGGTATATGAAAACCACTATCCCGTTACCAACCACGTCATTTTCCATCATCAGAAAACAATCATTAAATTACTCCATTTTAGATCACACAAGTTACAAAAACATGTCATGAGCATAATTGTTCACGTAAAATGAAAGCTGAAAACGCCACTATCCCGACAGCCAGAATATGAACACACAAAATATGGTATAAGGTTCCATACCTATTAAAGTCAAAATGCACCAGTTGCATATCTTCGGATATTTCCACCTCAACAGTTGCATGAGGACGAGTCTGCAGTTTCCAAATGCCAGAAAGGATGAGAAAACTTACTATGAATGCAACAGGAATATTTGCTAAAAGTTCAAATATTTTCTTACCAACTGAACTTAAAATTGCATATTTTTGTTAGAATAGTTATTATATTTAGATTTAGGGATAGTTTAATCATTTGTTTTCTTTTATGTTGCCCTAACTTAGTTTACTATATAAAGACCTCTTATATGTAGTTTTCTTTTAAACTTTGTTCTGGCTAATTGTGCCTCAATAATATTCTCTTATTTCTTCCTCTTACTTTTCTTTGATTGATCAAAGTTAACATGGTATCAGAGCATAGTTTCAATCCAAAATTTATATTGTAGCACTACAGTAATTTAGTTGGAGGAAGAATATATTCTTGAGTTGTGTGATTTGAGAACTAGTGATTGGTGGATTGCTATTTTTTTGTGATTCCAAGGGCTGTGGACAGTGACGAAAACACTATTCACTGGATGAACAATGCCGAAAGTACTGTTTGCGCGCTGTGAACAGCACCGACGTTACTGTTCATGCTATGAAAAGTGCCGAATTTCGATTTTTAATGCCTTTTTGGTATTTTGCTACTGTCTTGCTGTTTTGTTGCCTCTTTTTGTCTTCTGAACTTTTGAAAGTTATGGAATTTGGGTTGTCTAGTTGCTGGATTGCTGATTTGATTTATTGGCTCGAGATACTTGTATTAAGGCCTATTGAGCGTCTGCTTCTTCGTTGGTTTTTGGTTTGTGAAGTTGGTA